TTATCACGGCTATTACTAAGTCTCTAATAATATTTGAAAACAAAATTATACATTTGCTATTTTTATATAACAAATACCTATAAACGATTTTTAATTGTACCAAGTTACATTAAATAAATCCAGTTTTTATGTGATTTATAATATTAATATGTAATTATGATAAATTATTTATCATTTGACGTTTTTGACGCGCGTACGATTCATCTTAATTGGTTATGCGATTGTTTACGTTGTTTACCGGGTTTTCTACACATTTAATAATTTTATTTTTGTTCGTGTTGTTGCACTACCTATTCAAAACAATATACAGGATGGTCCAAATTGTAATCGGGAAACTTTGCCGACATATTCTGCAGATAAAAATAAGTAAAAAATTTTGTATAAATGTATATCCTAAAAGGCTTCAGTTCGGAGATACAGGGTGTAGAAGTTTCATTTCTATTTCGGTTTTTTTCGTAAAAAACGACGGAAATATACAGGGTGGTCCGCACTGTATTCCGGAAACTTCGGCAGCATATTCTGCAGATAAAAATAAGTAAAAAAGTTCGTATAAATGTATGTCCTAAAATGTTTAGTTTCGGAGATACAGGGTGAAGAATTTTCATTTTTATTTGGATGTTTTCCAAATAATTTCTGAAATAACGTCAATATTTCGATGAAAATTGGTGTCTGGAGAAAAACTCCCAGGCACCTATTTTCATCTAAATGTTGACGTTACTTCAGAAATTATTTGAAAAAAATCGATATAAAAATGAAACTTTCACACCCTGTATCTCCGAAACTAAGCATTTAAGGACATACATGTATACGAACTTTTTTACTTATTTTTATCTGCAGAATATGCTGCAGTAAATAACAAAATAAAAATAAAACTTCTACAGCTTGTATCTCCAAAACGAAGCCTTTTGGAACATAAATTTATATATTTTAATTAATATCTCTTTTAATTATTATTTTATATAGGACTTCTTTACTTATTTTTATCTGGAGAATATGTTGCCAAAGTTTCCCGGTTACAATCGGGCCACTCTGTATAATAACATACTATTATGTATTTTGTGTTTTATGCAAGTTATTTTATTTTTTTAACTGTTTTTTGTTTTTAAAACAATCAAAGGCAAGTATAGCTGAATATGAATTATATCCATCCAAAAATAAATAAAATTATTAGAAACAACAAACAATATATTTGTAAATAATGTAATTACTTATTGTTAAAGTAATTTGATAAATTTTATTGTTGCTGTTTTTCTTGTATATGTGTTTCTATGGAATAACTAGGATATTTTTAACATAAAATTTGAAAAATGGTTAATAGAAAAGGTTTCCTTTACTCAGATCTATCACTGTTTAAAATACTTGCACTCACTTAAAAGATGCCCTGTATATTCTATATTATCTACCAGCTTAAGATAAATTTATACTTATTCATAAATTATAAAATATTCACCCACATCCTTTAGTGTCTGCTGCATGTTTATTTAAACAAATATTTGTAGATCAGTATTTTATATATTTATAATCTTATTCCTGTCCTTTTTATTTCATTTTAAGAATTTTGTTATCTTTATATTATTATATATAATACTGACAGTTTATTTTAATGTATACAAATAAATTCAACTTTTTATTTATATATTTAGTTTTGTCCTTATTATAATTATATTGCAGCAAATATAATTTTTGCAAGGTTTATTTGATTTATTTACTGAAGGATCATATCCTAACAAATCTCGTATTAATAAAAATCACGCGATTATGATAAAGATTAAAAGGACTTATAAAAGATTGTAAAATGATATCGGATACTAATCAAACTAAACACCTATTTTCTAAGATTTTAGAAATCTTTTAGACAATAATTGATGCTTTTCGAGATTAACCAGATTTTATGAGTCTCAATTAAAATTAAAATGTAATTTTATGATTTGCATTTTTCATTAAGAGGTCATTTCACTAATCCGAAAAAGTAGCAAAATAAGTGTTCGGCACTTAACGTTTTATGTAAAACTGGCTAAGTATTTTTACACAAATGAAAAAGGAAATTAAAGATAAAGGATTATGCTATATCCGTATTGCAGCACATTTTTAGACAACTTCTTTATTTTTAAGATATTGATGGTCAAACATCAACAAAAAATATTCCTTATGTTTGGATTAAATGTTCTCGAAAATAAAGACATAATTTAAAATTCCGTTACAATATGGAAATAGATTGAAGTTTTGTGATTACAGTGATATATAATTTATATAGTTTTGTAACAAATTGCTCGCTATTTTATGGCAAATGCTGAAGCTCTGCAAACCTTAATCAAGCCTTAATCAAAGCACGTGGGTTTGGACTTTTTTGTGTGGCTTAACACGACAGGATCGTTAAGCCTTAAGCAGATTTCTGAAATATAATATATATTTCCTTCTGTCACACACCCGCTTTACCCTACCCCTGAGAGCAACCCGAACAGTATAGCGTAAAAGACTCTTACGATAACATTGTTGGATTATCTTTCTCTTTCTCTTTCTCTTTCTCTTTCTCTTTCTCTTTCTCTTTCTCTTTCTCTTTCTCTTTCTCTTTCTCTTTCTCTTTCTCTTTCTCTTTCTCTTTCTCTTTCTCTTTCTCTTTCTCTTTCTCTTTCTCTTTCTCTCTCTCTCTCTCTCTCTCTCTCTCTCTCTCTCTTTCTCTTTCTCTTTCTCTTTCTCTTTCTCTTTCTCTTTCTCTTTCTCTTTCTCTTTCTCTTTCTCTTTCTCTTTCTCTTTCTCTTTCTCTTTCTCTTTCTCTTTCTCTTTCTCTTTCTCTTTCTCTTTCTCTTTCTCTTTCTCTTTCTCTTTCTCTTTCTCTTTCTCTTTCTCTTTCTCTTTCTCTTTCTCTTTCTCTTTCTCTTTCTCTTTCTCTTTCTCTTTCTCTTTCTCTTTCTCTTTCTCTTTCTCTTTATTTCTTATTTTTATTATTTTTATTTCCAATTTTTATTTATTTTTTCTTTATTTCTTATTTTTATTTTTTTTATTTCTTATTTTATCTTTAAAACACTTTTGAACTGTTTTTTTTAATTATTGCATTAATATGAAATTATGAATGTATTATCGTACCTTTTAGCATTCCGAATACAATTAAAACACTAAGTTAAAGTTAAATAAAATTACAATTATTACCTGTAATTAATAAATTAGTCGCACTAAAATTCGCCTTTATAAAAAGACGTACGAAAATTATATTAACAACATTTTTGATAACGGTATGTTTAAATCAAGCGAAATAAACTGAAACTGTTTAACTTTTTTTCCGTTAGTCTTGTCACGAACCACTCGAAAGATAATTTAAATACTCAATATGTCAAAAAGCCTGTAACAAATTTTACATATCAAATGTTTATTGCTAAATATTTCGATATTGATATCACTTGGCTTTCGTGATCCATATACAGGGTGTTCCGATATTTGTGGAAATCGAACCACTACGTATTTTTGGAATCAAAATACAGTAAAGTAGGATGATTGTTTCTATCTTGTTTGATTATTTCTCTTATTTCTAGAAGAAACCATCCGTCAACTGGACTGGACTAACAATAGATTAAAAATAAATGGAGAATATCTTAACCATTACAAACACAAGTAAACCTTGTTTGATTATTTCTCTCTTTCCCTTTCCCTTTCCCTTTCCCTTTCCCTTTCCCTTTCCCTTTCCCTTTTCTCTTTCCTTTCCTTTTTTCCTTTCTCTTTCTTCCCTTTCCTTTCCCTTTCCTTTCCCTTTCCCTTTCCCTTTTCCTTTTCCTTTCCTTTCCTTTGCCTTTCCCTTTCCCTTTCCCTTTCCCTTTGCCTTTCCTTTCCCTTTCCCTTTCCCTTTCCCTTTCCCTTTCCCTTTCCCTTTCCCTTTCCCTTTCCCAAACCAACAAAGGATTAAGAAATGCGGTGATATCTGTCTTACATCTTAAATGGAATTGGGCAGGACATGTGGCTCGGATAATAGATGGACGGTGGACAAGGAGACTTGTGAAATGGAGACCAAGACACGAGGCCTATAGAAGCAGAGGACGACCTCCTAGTCGATGGACAGATAATATTAAGAGAGTGGCTGGAAACTGGATTCAAGTGGCACAAAATAGAAAGAAACGGCTAGAGTTAAGAGAGGCTTTTGGTTAGCAGTGGACGGAATAAACTAAATGATGATGATGATGATGAAAGTAATGCACAATTAACTGGTAGATAGAAAAGAGATTCCAGTAAATAACGCAACACTGAAAATACTAGAAGAATATATATTTATTTGGGGCAACTAATACACAGCTCGGGATTTAGAAATCGGTTCGAGAAATTAACATAAGAATTAAGTTAGCATGGACGTATGGAAGAAATCCAATCATATTTAAATCTAGAATTCCACTTTGTGTAAAGAAGAAGGACATTAAACGCATAGTTTTTTCGAAAAAAAATGATACTATTATTACTATATAGTATTTATAACGTGAAAAAATAAATTGAATAATAGATATTTACGATACAAGTGAGTTAACAGCATCATTAAGATACGCGTGTGAAACAAAGTTGCGTAGCACGAGTTGCACGTGCATAGCACGTGCAACTTGTGCTACGCAACTGTACGACGCTACTGCACGTAAGCACGAGTTGCACGTGCGTAGCACGAGTTGCACGTGCGTAGCACGAGTTGTGTAACCACACAAGTATTTTAATGGAGTTAACCCGTCTGTATTGTACAATATTTTATCTACGTCTATCTATAAAAACCCACAATAAATTTTAAAAATTATTGTATATACTTAACTATATACCTATCCTGAAAATCAATTACCTTAATACCTTTGTTCAAATAACACCATGCATCGGAATGTCAATATGACAGTAAATAATATTGATGTCACTAGTTTACAAAATAAGCGATTCGGAAAGTATTCCCTCTGACATTGAAGAAGAGGCATTTAGAGCCATTTCTGGATTGCTTCCAGCAAGATCGAAGCAGAAGTATGAATGAAGTATGAAAAATGGTGCACCGAAAGAAAAGTACACAGAACTATGGAAATGAAAAGGTACTCATAACATATTTTTCCAATTTATCTGCTACTTATAAGCCTTCGTCTCTTTGGGCTTTCTATGCATTGATACGTACAACGATATCTATTAAAATGAATACATGTAATATGTTTCATCGGACATTTACTTGAAAAATTGTTCCAACTGTATCATTAACATTTATAATAAATAAGTTTTTTGTTTTTATAATTATTATCAATAAAACAGTTTATTTGTATTTAGTAGGTATTTAGTGCAAAATAAATGTATTACAAAATATTTTTTTCTCTTTGGTAGTCATCTAGACAAGGAGTGCGGTAATGAAAATGCGTGAGTTAAGAACAAACTTTTTAACTCACTGACGTAGATAAACATATTTAAACATATAATATTCCTTAAACAAAAATTTGACCTTCACGGTAAATTGGTACCTATATACATTTTGAACGGTATATATGATTTATTGTCGAAAAAATTATAGATAGTATTTATTTTCGTTTAAGTTCGTAATTATATGCAACTAGTTTAAAGTCTGAATTGCTAATTATTTAGGTATCAGTGCTGTCAACGTTTAAAAAATATATGTGATGATATACAGGGCGAGTCTTAAATAAGTGCAAATATTTTTAGGTGTGGTATATTTCGACCCTAGAAACAAGTCTACGAGTTTTTTTCGCTTAGAAATTGGGATTTTTAAAGATTGTTACCTGCTATATAGGCTGTCAAAAAGATAGTGTACCAAACTACATCGGCATATGCCCTAAGCTGCATGCCTCTCGAAGAAGTTACAGCCCTCGTAAAGGTAAAATAATTATGTTTGTTTTTATAAACTTTGATAAACCGTTTTTATTTAAATTTGGCATTCTTATACATATTTTATTGCCAAAACCAAGAGCGTTAGTATAAAAATTCGTAATAGTTCTGAAAGAGTACTTTAAGCGGCCCATACATTATCAAACAAATTGCGCAACAAAGCGATGCGCAACGCTGCGTTGCACAACTGATTCAGCTATCAAACAAGTAGCCCAACAAAGCGATGTGCACCGTTCCGTTGCACAACTGCATCACCCATGCGCTTAGTAAAATTGTGATTAAACTTTTTATTAAAAGTTGTGCATTGTTTGAGAAACAATCATGTCCTCAATTGCCATTGCGTCAATTATTATCGTATATACCCTATATGATGTCGATGATACCAAAAAACGAAAAAGAAAACAAAAAATTTGGATGCAAGAACTAAAATATTGCACAACGAAGCGAAACACACACATACACTACACAACGCGTTGCGCAAACAGTCCTGTTGCACAAAAGAATTCAAACATTCTTGAAACTCATCAAACAATTGCGCAACGCATCAAACACTACCATACATTGGCAACTCGTTGCGCAACAGCCTGCGTTGCGCAATTTGTTTGATAATGTATGGGCCGCTTTAGAGTAGGGTTGCCAACCGTCCTCTATTTCAGAGGACTGTCCTCTTTTTGATCATGTACTGTTCTCTTTCTGTCATGTATTGAAAAAGTCCTCTTTTTACACACCAAAAACAAAATCTAATCGAATTGTTAATCAGCAGTTAATCCGGCAACATGTGTCTTTTTTGTGGAAGTGATAAATATGTTTAGCTTTTTTTGTTTACTTATATTTTTAAGTAAAAGTTTGCAGAAAATCATTTTTTTGTATTATAACAAATTTTGAGAATAAATATCTTTAAGATAGTAAGTAAGAAAGACCAAAAACCCCATAACAGTTACATTTTTTGGGTAAATTTTTAACAATATTTGGGCAAGTTTTCAATGTTTTGCCTGTGGTTTTTTTTAACCCCCTTATTCCCTATTTTTTATTTGAAAGTTGGGAACCCTACGGTAGAGGGTAGTAAACAATCATCACCAATCAAACATACATATATTTTTTAAATGGAATCCATAGAGTAGGCCATGACTTCCTAAACAGCGCCATTTTTTAAGCTTTCCAGCGATATAAGCTACCCATAATATGTTAAAAAATTACTGAGTTATAGCCAATTGTCATCTTTCTTGACCAATTTCACTTAGTTGGCATGGTATGGTTATTTTGTTATGATTTATAACTTATAGTATATTATTAAACGGCTGTTTACAATTTACATTACACAAACTAAAACTTAAAAAAATAATATTACTATATACACTTTAAGTTATTACTGAGTTATAGCCAATTGTTATCTTTCTTGACTAATTTCACTTAGTTGGCATGGCATTTTTATTGTGTTATCATTTATAACTTATAAAAAGACAAAATATATTATTAAACGGCTCTTTACAATTTACATTACACAAACTAAAACTTAAAAAAATAATATTACTTCATACACTTTAAGTTATTTTAGAAAATGTTCAAAAAACCCGCCATTGTTTTGAGTACATAAATGTATCTTTTTAAAACTGAGCTATTTCTAGCTATTCTCACAGAACGACAGGTCGACTTAATTAAACTTTTCTCGTACCGCCTTTTCGAGTACCTCTCCTTAATTCATAAGTTCTTTTTTAAACCTTATTGTTAACCATACCGCATAAAAAATCTAAAATGGATAGGTTAGGTGATCGGAGGAGTCCCATGCAATTGGTCCACCTCTTTCTATCCCTGAGTCTACATAATTATGATATAAATAATTTTTAACATTTGTTTTATTGTGGGGGGGGGGATGGTGTGTCATAATGAAAGTCATGTTGGAACGACTCTATTAATGCGCGAGTATCTAAATTTAACATGTCTTGAAAACCGTTATCTAAAAAACTTAAGTTACGTTCACCGGTCAACGTATCCTCGAAACTGTATGGCCAAGAAAAGTTGAAACAATAATCCTACACACTTTTCTTCATTTGAAAAATTATTATTGACAATTTTTGATTTATTTTAATTTACAAAGTTAGGATGTGACAGTTTCACATTTCTGGGAGCAACGACGATTGAATTTGTTTCCACGGCTAACTAAGTGAAATTAGTCAAGAAAGATAAGAATTGTCTATAACTCAGTAATTTTTTGAAAAAAAAACATATTATAGATATATACATAAAAATATATTATATATCGCCGAAAAACTTAAAAAATGGTGCTTTTTATGAAATCATGACCAAGTATGGTTTCCATTAAAAAAAACGTATATTTGTGTCATATGTCAAAAATGACAGGCTTTAGAAAAAATCGGAGAACACAAACCCATTAGGGATGTGATCTACTACATCTACAACTTTTGTCTGAAAACTTTTTGTCTAAAATAGATTATAATGGAATTAGGGACAATTTTTAAAATAGCCCAAATTTGATTTTTTCGAAATATCTAGTAAGCCATGAACTTTTTCAAAAATCTGAGGGGCGCATATTTTTGATTCACAAAACTGCAATTCTTTCCCCATTTAACCGACTCTCTATCTCCAGTAGTTTCCGGGATACCCATAGAGAACATCGTAGGAAACTCACCCTGTATATATATATATACAAATCAGTTCATAACGTTCTTCGCCGTCTTCTGATTTCCAGTCTCCATTGGTCTCTGTCTGTCCAGAGGTTTTCTTCTATTCCTATTGTTCTAATGTCCCCGTCTATTCCTTCTCTCCAACTCCTAGGTCTCTTTCTTTTACCTTTTACCTTGCGGTGTCCAATTGAGTATTTTATACACCCTGTATATATGTGTAAAAAAATACTCTAAATATATTTAAAATTAACATTTTCTATAATTGGTGTGTCCATGAATGGACAAATAAACAAAGATAACCCAATTGGAAAACGTGATTCTGCACGTTTTACAAATCTTTAGGAAGACTTTAAGCACGTGAATGATTGATAAAAAATATGTTTGCTATTCCCCGTTGCCAAATAAATGTTGCCTTAATTGTACCATTTCTAATCAAAGATGAAAGGTCAATCGTCAATAAATTATTTAATTAAAATATAATAAATATTATATTTTAGTAACTAAGTTTTAAAGAAACCAAAAAGTATGATAAAATAATAAGAAATCCATAATATCAATATTGTCTCACTAACAATCTGTACGTATCTTTATAATTGTCAATAATTATAAAGAAACAATGTCAATGAAATCTTTGCTGGACATATCACAAAACATCCCCCTTTAGAACTTTTTCTTTAATGGCCATAAATGGGAGTAAAAGACTGACAGTGCGAACAAACACTAGAGGCGCCGGTCATCAAATGGCATAAAAATAGCGAAAATTTGCTAGTTGTGTCCATTTTATATTTTACTTTTTTCATACATACGACAAATATACATTTTCTAATTCGTTTTATTTAAAAATGTTAGAAAACAAGCCTCTAATTGGCATACCTAAGTGTTATGTAATCTATTCCATTTAAACAAATAAAAAAATGTAAATTTAAAAAATATATTAAAAATATATAAGCTTCATTCAGAACCTCCCAATTAGTGAAATAAATTATTGGTTTCAATTACACTTTATAGCAACAGCTTGAGTTAGTCTATAGTATCCATAGAGAAAGCATAATATTTAGCATATAAAACAATAAACTTTTGCTTTCTAACCAAAATTTTTCTTGGCGGATGATAATCAAAGGCCAAAATGACATTCCTCGCAAATTTTGAAGTATAATTAGTGGAAAAGTCAAAAGTTTGTTAACTTTTTTGACTAATTGAAAATTACTACCACTAATTATGACGTTCTGAATGCTTACATTAAAAATAGGTGACCAAACTTCTACGCTAATTGAAACCACTAATTTATTCCACTAATTGGGAGGTTCTGAATTAAGCTATACAGGCATTAATTGCCATTTTTAGTATGCGAACAAACACGAGAGGCGCTTTATTTACTTTCATTTTCTTTACATGACAGATGAAGTTCTAAACGGGGATGTTTTGTGGACATAATAGATAATAGATAAAATAAATGACAGATCATACATACTAATATTTTTAATACTAGTCAGCATACATGAATTTTACTTTCCAGGTCAGAATCCACCAGCATTTGTAGCATTGTCTTTTGTGACCCAGCTGAAAGCAAGTAACTGAGAACAATAAATCTTAGATATCTTAGACATCATGTATGAAACTTATAAGGAATCTATATCAATGGAATCTTTGCTTGACTGATTATTGAATATTAAACCTACTTTTCCTAAAATATTTTATACTCTTGTAAGAAAAAGAAAAAAGTGATAATACAGAAATCTGATATATTTAATATTTAGTCTATATTTTACGTTCAGTGAAACAAATCATACATTTAACTATATGTATATTTTATTAAATAAATATTAATTACAGTATTTATCACGTATTATACTCAACATCTAAATTAAACAACTTTACAATCTGAAAATAAAAGTAAACAGAAGCATCACTCCCATAGTCACCCAGCTAAGACTGCTCAGGCTTGCTGAACTTATAGTATCCAAGTGGATTTCGTTCAAAAGCGCCTCAGGAACATCAATATAAGTCTTGCTTAACTTAACTTTTTCCAGCAAACTTCTTAAATTCGTTACGTTGACCTTATCATCTTCCCCTGACCAGATGGTGAGCGTAGAACCAGAAACTCCTTCTAACAATGTTGTCAAATTTGCTGTACTGTTTGCAGCGTAAACTGCCCTGACAGGGAATGTGAACGAGAGATCAGACACGTTATTGGTCTTAATACTATTCAGCATGTTTGATATTTGATCGTCGGAATAGGAACCAGTGTTGTTTGTCTCGTTGTATCCTGTGGTCCATCCCACTGACAGTGTTGCCGTTTTGAAGTCTTTGGCGGCGGCAAAGAACTAGGTGTCGTTGACAGGAGTGGCGTTGGTGTTTCGGCCTTCCAGGATATTGGCGTTCAGCCAGATAACAGGAACAAAGATAACACAATTGGAAAACGTGATTCTGCACGTTTTACAAATCTTTAGGAAGACGTTCAGCCCGTGAATGATTGATAAATAATATGTTTGTTATTCCCCGTTACCAAATAAATGTTGCCTAAATTGTAGCATTTTTAATCTAAGATGAAAGGTTAATCGTTAATAAATTATTTAACTAAAATATAGTCTTATATTTAATAACTAAGTTCTAAGAAAAGCAAAAAGTATGATTAAATAATAAGAAATCCATATCAATATTGTCTCACAGATAATCTAATAATCTGTATCTATCTTTATAACTGTCAAGAATTATAAAGAAACAATGTCAAAGAAATCTTTGCTGGACATATTAATAGATAAAATAAATGACAGATCATACATACTAATGTTTTTAATACTAGTCAGCATACATAAATTTTGCTTTCCAGTACAGAATCCACCAGCATTTGCAGCATTGTCTTTTGTGATCCATCTAACTGAAAGCAAGTGACTGGGAATAATAAATCTTAGATATCTTGACAGCGTGTATGACACTTATAAAGAATCTATATCTATGAAATATTTGCTCGACTAATTATTGAATATAAAACCTACTTTTTCTAAAATATTTTATACTCTGGTGTAGAAAAAAGCGTTAAATAATACAGAAATCCTACATATTTAATATTAAGTCTATATTTTACGTTCATTGAAACAAATCACACATTTAACTATATGTATATTTTATTAAATAAATAGTAATTACAGTATTTATCACTTATTGTACTACACATCGAATAAAAATATTTATTATACTCAACATCTAAATTAAACAACTTTACAATCTGAAAATAAAAGTAAACAGAAGCATCACTCCCATAGTCACCCAGCTAAGACTGCTCAGGCTTGCTGAACTTATAGTATCCAAGTGGATTTCGTTCAAAAGCGTCTCAGGAACATCAATATAAGTCTTGCCTAACTTAACTTTTTCCAGCAAACTTCTTAAATTCGTTACGTTGACCTTATCATCTTCTCCTGACCAGATGGTGAGCGTAGAACCAGAAACTCCCTCTAACAATGTTGTCAAATTTGCTGTACTGTTTGCAGCGTAAACTGCCCTGACAGGGAATGTGAACGAGAGATCAGACACGTTATTGGTCTTAATACTATTCAGCATGTTTGATATTTGATCGTCGGAATAGGAACCAGTGTTGTTTGTCTCGTTGTATCCTGTGGTCCATCCCACTGACAGTGTTGCCGTTTTGAAGTCTTTGGCGGCGGCAAAGAACTAGGTGTCGTTGACAGGAGTGGCGTTGGTGTTTCGGCCTTCCAGGATATTGGCGTTCAGCCAGATAACAGGAACAAAGATAACACAATTGGAAAACGTGATTCTGCACGTTTTACAAATCTTTAGGAAGACGTTCAGCCCGTGAATGATTGATAAATAATATGTTTGTTATTCCCCGTTACCAAATAAATGTTGCCTAAATTGTAGCATTTTTAATCTAAGATGAAAGGTTAATCGTTAATAAATTATTTAACTAAAATATAGTCTTATATTTAATAACTAAGTTCTAAGGAAAGCAAAAAGTATGATCAAATAATAAGAAATCCATATCAATATTTTCTCACAGATAATCTAACAATCTGTATCTATCTTTATAACTGTCAAGAATTATAAAGAAACAATGTCAAAGAAATCTTTGCTGGACATATTAATAGATAAAATAAATGACAGATCATACATACTAATGTTTTGAATACTAGTCAGCATACATAAATTTTGCTTTCCAGTACAGAATCCAGCCTATTGCAGCATTTGCAGCATTGTCTTTTGTGATCCATCTAACTGAAAGCAAGTGACTGGGAATAATAAATCTTAGATATCTTGACAGCGTGTATGACACTTATAAAGAATCTATATCTATGAAATATTTGCTCGACTAATTATTGAATATAAAACCTACTTTTTCTAAAATATTTTATACTCTTGTGTAGAAAAAAGCGTTAAATAATACAGAAATCCTACATATTTAATATTAAGTCTATATTTTACGTTCATTGAAACAAATCACACATTTAACTATATGTATATTTTATTAAATAAATAGTAATTACAGTATTTATCACTTATTGTACTACACATCGAATAAAAATATTTATTATACTCAACTTCTAAATTAAACAACTTTACAATCTGAAAATAAAAGTAAACAGAAGCATCACTCCCATAGTCACCCAGCTAAGACTGCTCAGGCTTGCTGAACTTATAGTATCCAAGTGGATTTCGTTCAAAAGCGCCTCAGGAACATCAATATAAGTCTTGCCTAACTTAACTTTTTCCAGCAAACTTCTTAAATTCGTTACGTTGACCTTATCATCTTCCCCTGACCAGATGGTGAGCGTAGAACCAGAAACTCCTTCTAACAATGTTGTCAAATTTGCTGTACTGTTTGCAGCGTAAACTGCCCTGACAGGGAATGTGAACGAGAGATCAGACACGTTATTGGTTTTAATACTATTCAGCATGTTTGATATTTGATCGTCGGAATAGGAACCAGTGTTGTTTGTCTCGTTGTATCCTGTGGTCCATCCCACTGACAATGTTGCCGTTTTGAAGTCTTTAGCGGCGGCAAAGAACTGGGTGTCGTTGACAGGAGTGGCGTTGGTGTTTGGACCTTCCAGGATATCGGCGTTCAGCCAGATTGGGAAACTTTCCTGCAATAAAAAATTAAATAACTTAATGAGTCACTATTATCATTTCGATAAGAATTTAAGCAAAAATGTCGGTTATACCGGATTATGTATTAGCTCAGAACCATTGCCTGGTTAGGTTAGGTTAGGAGAAACGGAGAAAGATCTTTGAATAAGAAGACTAAGGAAGGAGCATAATGCTACCCATGTATTCATGCATGGTGGGCGGAAAAAGCACTCTAGGGTGGGGATCCTTGACAGTTCTGTTTGACGATTCATTTGACACATTTGAATTTGATTTGAAATGTTATTGATTTATCAGTCTTTACGGAGCTTATTTTATGTTATTTATTATTTATTCTACTACTGATAGTTGTATAAAGGTAGTAAATCTAGATGGAAATTGTGGCAGAACTTAAATTAACAGTGACACTATCGCGATTTATCGAAAAAGACTCTAAAATAGTTGGTTGTGTAGCGTGCGGTAGATCTCGGCAAAAATCGAGTGAAATAATGGAACAACTTTTCGCTAGTAAGTGACTATATAATATACATACGTGTAGTGAACCGATCATTTATGAAGTTCGCTTAAATTAACTAATTATATATTTTTTCTTGCATTTTTGCTTTTATTTACTACTTGTCAAAGATTAGATGTCAAAGAATTTAGATACGTCAATTTGATTTACCAGATTTACCTGCTTCAGTAGCGTATCGGATGTTTGTGTTAATAAATAATTATTATAACTTATCTATTTTTATTAGAATTATATATTTTTGTAACAATTAACAATAACTACCAACATTTATTCACAACGTCAAATAAAACAACATATTATTGAGTCTACCCTACATCATAGTTTTACATTTTTTAAATAAAATTAGAACGGCACTGATAAACCGGAATTTAAGTTGGCCATATTTGAGGCTCATCGCGGTGGACCTAAGATTTTTGATATGCACCTTCCTTAGTCTTCTTATTCAAAGAGAAAGATCGTAAATAACGGACGTTTTGACACTTTTTTGACAAATTTAATCTAACCTTAATAAAAATATAATAGTACAAGAGTTAGCACAGCAGGGAAAATGAGAATTTTAAGAAAGCTGGTTCTTTTCCTATGCTGTCCTGACCAAAGTGTGGGCCGTCTGGCTGCCGGTAGACTACTGCGGTTCACCTCTGCGCATCACATCTGTACAGGGTGTGTGTACAGGTACATGTTCGTGTGGGATTTTTATGGGATTTCTCGTTTATGAGCAGAGACACAATGATGCGATTTTTACATTACTTTATTACAATTTTATGAAACTAAATATGCTACACATATGTTTGTCCTAGTCTCCTTAGTTTCTGAAATATAGGGCGAATTTGTGATGCGCAGTAGTAAACAGACATTGAATTCAGATATAATGCGCAGTAGTGAATGCAATGTCTACCGGCAGCCAGACGGTCCGCACTCTGTTCAGGCAAAGTTTACAGATTTGGTTCAGGGGAGCATATCAAAAGATGTATTAAAGAACCAGCTTTCTTAAAATTCTCTCTAAAAAACAAATTCTCTTAAAAAAGCAAATTCTTCGTTTAATTTCATAATATTTTAATTGCCCCTTCTATATATCATTATTTATTGCTACAAAATATTTTTTTGTTTGATATATAGATTTTTATTTTTATTTTATATATCATGATTCTGAAAAATAAATCAATATGAGTAGAATGGCGTTCTTATGAGTTTGAAAGTTCAACAGCCGATAAAAACTTAAATTTTAATTAAAAACGCTATCCCTAGTCAACATAGCGGAATTTTAATTCATGATTTTAAAAATTGACATGGAGTCGGACACAAATCATCTGCATTATAACATATTTGTGTCTAAAAAGAGAAAAACTCGTGTTTCGAAAATGAAGATGTGTCAAAATGACAAAAACAGAGATAGGTGGATCTCTCGAAAATGGTTCATTCGCAGCCTCTAGTGCAGCAAAGGTTCTTTTGACGATGAAATATCTTGAAACCGTTGTCAGAAAATATGCTGTTTTATATCTTTTTTGAAACAGCTGTATTGATCAAGATAACTTCTAAAAAATGTCTGTACCTATGTGGCGGATTCATCTTTCCAAAAAATCCTATATGGGTATTTCGTCACTGCAAGAAAATCTACAAAATAAACTAGTTAGTTTATGTAAACACTTCTGCGTTAATCCCAAACGGAAACTACTTGTCAAAAGTTAGGTTTAAAGATATACAAATTTGCCTAACGAACAAAAAAATGCCTAACGTTTCGGAAAATTTATCTCTTTCCGTCGTCGCGCGTCGTCGGCAAAAACGGTTTTTGTAGACGTATCTGTTGTAAAAAAATAAAGTGTTCTCGAATAGTTGAATTTTGTCGCTCGAATGGCTTAAGTCATATCTTGGCAACAGAAGGCAGCTTGTGAGGATTGATACGTCTATATGTCTTCTTGTAAGCCTATAGAATGTGGTGTCCCTCAGGGTTCAGTACTTGACCCGATTTTATTTTTGGTGTTTATCAACGACATTGTAATTCTAGACATTAGCGGTAAAATCTGCCTCTTTGCGGACGATACTAGTTTCACTTGGAGCGGCCGAGATGTTACGGCACTATATGTATAATACTATATCCAGTGACTTACGCACCATTAAATCTTGGTGCGATTCTAATCTCCTATGCCTCAACCTTTCAAAAAATAAAGTTTTGTCATATAAAATACTGTACAACCTTTTGTACTTAATAACACCACTATTGACGTCGTGGACTCTGTAAAATTCTTAGGACTTGTTGTAGACAACTCGTTAAAATGGGACTTGCACATCGAAGCTTTATCAAAAAAAAATCACTGCCTGTTTTGCGCTAAGATCAGTTTCTAAGGAACTTAACTTATCAACCTGTAGAATGGTCTATTATGCCCTTTTTGAGTCGCATCTTCGTTATGCCCTTCCATTCTGGGGTACTTGTAAAAAATAGAGCAGTTCGATATTTATTGGGACTGAACAGTAGAACTCACTGCCAGAATTTCTTTAAAAAATTCAAAATACTGACTCTTCCTTCCTTATTCATTTTTGAATCCGTTTGCTTAATCCGCAAGCACATATCTGCTGTTCCGGAAAGGCCATCTCACAACAATCCACTTAGGAATGCGGAGCACGAGCTTTATCTGCCAACCCCGAGCTCAGAACTAGTTAAAGGCTCAATACTGTACAATGCCAAAAAAATGTACAATCATCTGCCTTTGAATATCAAGTCACTTTCATTCTTTCCCGCATTTCGCAAAGCTCTGAAATCATACTATACCGCTATATGAGGTAAACGACTTTTTTGTTGATGTTTAATCATGAACAATTTTGAATTTTAAAATTTTGATCATCTCACACACTGGTTAAAGGTCTATATAGTATTTAATATTTAATATTTTATAACTCTTACATGATTTTATCCATTTACAATTTTCCTTTTGTAAAATGTGTATATGTTTTATCAGTAATTTTAATGACGAAAATTTTTTTGAATTGATTTGTATGATATTTTTTATTATTTGTATATTTTTTTGTGCTTTTGTTCGTTTTGAAAATGCTTTGTCGATGAAGCTATTTTGGCTTTTTGTACGATAAAGCGTTGTTTATAAGTCCTAATTATTTGGAAATACGATTTAAATATTTTTTTCTATTAAAATCAAAAAATTTGATTTAAATAAAAAAAAATATTTAAATAAAAAATCTGATTTGGATAAAAAAAATCTGATTTAAATAAAAAAAAAATTTTTTTTTTTAACTTTTAAATCATGATTTTTTCCAACCCTGCAAAATACTACTTACGTTTTCATATTTCTTAATAAAAGCTGTAGAATTTAGGAAGGCATCGGTAGACTTGAAATCAAGTTTAATACCGTGCTTGGTATTGTTGACTATGTTCGATGTGTTGACTAGTTCCAGGAAAGTTTCTAGAGAGAGATCGGACGTAATGTCTGGTGGATGAGCCATTATCGGAATCACTGTTTTGTCCTTTCCCACTGTTCCTAGCACTACGTCAGCTTCTATCATATTAATTGTTGCTAAAAAAAACAATTCAATGAATTAAAATTAAAAATATATTTTTTTTATTATTTTTTTCTTAATATTAAATTAATTTGAATAAATAATTCAATGAGTTAATTATTTCTTTGAATGTGGTAGACAGTAATTCAGTATACCGGATAATTTTCAAAAGTAGCTCGCCCCTATAACTGTTTCATTTTTTCAGACAAAAAAAGGGGATTTGATATGTTATTATATGACATAAATCAGGATTGAGTGACTGAATGTTTTTCGGTCACTTCTTGTTTCACCGGAAATGACTACAACTTTTGATTTGCATATAAATGGTACCTTTGTATTTTTTTACTTTGTTCCATAGAGAATTACTGTCTGCATAGAATGGCATCCCATATTTTATTTCTTACAGAATGAACACTACAGGGTGTCCCAGTACGTCCAAAATAACCGAGTTATTTTACTTTGAAGATTTAAACAAAAAATGATTTTTTGCTTAAATTTAATGTACTACCTATGTTGCCATATTACCAAGAAATTATGTTTTTTAACTTAAAACTAAAAACATTTACAAAAGTTTTATCAAAAAAATCCAAATTTTCAAAAAGAAAATTTCGCAAAAAAAACCTCAGGTGTGTTTCTCAGGCCGAAATATACTACCAGTTAAAATACTTGCACTTATTTCTGGGACACCCTGTATACTTTGTCTCATTTTAAAACGACACAAACGTTGCATATATTAATCTTCCGATATACAGGGTTATTCACCACATACGACACGGAGTATTGTAGCTAAACTTTTGAATTTTTACAAATTGTAAGTTTTGGGTTCGTTGAAGGACTATTAGAGGTACAATTTAAAAATATTTTTACAAGATACAGAGTGGCCCAAATAAGTAAAAATTATTATAGTTGTATTTTTGTAAATTGAACACTCTGTATATTATTCTATTTTTAGATTCTACGGTTGAAATAAAAGTAAATTTCATTAAGGTTTATCACACTTAAACCTTACCGTTTTTGAGATATTTTCAATTTTATGAAATTGCAGTAAAAATTTTAAGGCTTCATTTCTCCAATGGTACTATCGAAGTTTTTAATGCTAAATATTTACTGAAGTTTATTTATTGATCAGATATTGCTTTTCAATAATAACAAAACTACTATTTTATACAGAGTGTCTAAAAATTTATATTTAATAATTACTAGCTTTAAACGGCAATAAGTTGTTCAATCTGAATAGAAAACCCTGTATATTTTACGAGAATCAGATGCACAATTTAATTGTCTATCAAATTGTATTATATAATTTTTTACCTATCTCTTCAAGTTTTCGTAGAAAATGCATTTTCTTATAATTTACCTCATTTATCACTATACCCATGGAATATTGACATTTTAGATTATTTTTTAAAGATGTAACAAATTTTCAAAAAATACAGATACTAATATTGTCGATATAATTTGCTTATTTCATTAAAATATAAAAAAAATTGGTAAAATATTTTTTGTTGAAGAGGACCAATAATTAATATGATCCCGGTATTCAAACTACATCAATTGACCGTTTACGTTGATTAATAATAATTGCTCCAAATACTAAAAAACTGCATTTTGTATGTGTATTAGACAGTGTGGCAAAAAGTAACACCTTATATATTTTATTTCATTTTTTGACAAATGCATATTTATAACAACAGAGACGTTCATTTTTATAACTTATTATTGTATTGATTTCTGAGTGAAATCCACATTTATTTAGAATAATTTGTTAATTAAAACAATTAAGTTTGCAATTAACTAATTTTTGGGCGGAAATAATGGTGGTATATTAATAACTAGTAACAATTGGTATACTCTTTTACAAAGATTTAAAATATTTTTCTTTTTGTAAACAAATGGGCTTGCAATATTATTATTTTTTTACCACTTGTACATTTTGTACATATATTGCTTTAGAAAAATCTGAAATGTCAATATTCCATGGGTATAGTGATAAATGAGGTCTAAATTATAAAAAATGTATTTTCTACGAAGACTTGAAGAGATAGGTAAAAAATGGTATAATAAAATTTGATAGACAATTAAATTATGCATCTGATTCTCGTAAAATATACAGGGTGTTCCATTTAAATTAAACAAGTTATTGCTGTTTAAAGCTAGTAATTATTTAATATAAATTTTTTGACACTCTGTATAAGATAGTATAATTTTTATTATTGCAACACAATATCTAATCAATAAATAATCTTCAGTAAATATTTACCTTTAATACCCTTGTAGAAATGAAGCCTTAAATTTTTTACTGCAAATTCACAAAATTGAAAATTTTTCAAAAACGGTAAGGTTTAAGTGTGATAAACCTTAATCAAATTTACCTTTATTTTAACCGTAGAATCTAAAAATAGAATAATATACAGGGTGTTCCATTTAAAAAAATACAACTATAATATTTTTTACTTATTTGGGACACTCTGTATCTTGTAAAATTATTTTTAAATTGTACCTCTAATAATCCTTCAACGAGCCTAAAACTTACAATTTGTGAAAATCTAATCGTTGAGCTACAATACTCCGTGTCGTATGTGGTGAACAACCCTGTATTTGTCTTAACGCTGATGGTAGGAACTTTGTTTTGGTTTGGTTGGCCAGATTACTATTATTAGCGATGGGAACTATCGAATGAATTAGATTATCGAATGGTTAATGAATGAATGATATCAACTATCGAATGGTTTTATTCGAATAAAATCATTCATTCATTTGTATACTAAAGCATATGTGACAACCTCGCCGTGCGACTAAATGGTTATCGTTGAGCCACGACTATCGAATGCTTTTGATAAATGAAATTTAGTATTCGTTTGATTTTTGTATGCGTCAGTGTATTATTAGTTCTTCCAAATTTTTATAACTTCGCCGTATAAATACTGTGCTATTTTTGCGTTTATTAAAATAGTTAAAATAAATGAAAAAAAATTTGTGTGGTTTTCCGTAGTCCGATCTTTCAATTATTTAATTTTATATGGTATATGGTCTATTTTTTAATGGGAAATTTTGAGAAGTAGCAATTTTTAAGAGAGATGAGATGAACTTACAATTAATTTTAAAAATACATATTTGTATTTTAGATGTTTTAATAATATGAATTAGTTGAACTTAATAATCATATTTAAGTAATGTGGTTAATTAAATGCGGTTATCGAACTCAAACTATGGGGTGAGAAAATTAAAATGAAAGTTTTACACGTGCCAATTTAAAAAAAAAGTTAACGATGTTTGTATTTTGTTTATGCTAATTCTCTTACATGTAGTTTTTTTATGAAGAAATATTTCATTTATTTTTAAAGTAAATGGCAGTAAAAGTAAATATAATTTTTAAATAGTAATATAAAGCACCTAATATAAATAATTTTGATTTCTAATTTTTATTTATATTTTCCTTCCATTACACTGCATGCTTAGAAAATTAATAAATGTTTATATTTCATGATTTTAAAATTTGTTGTTAATATAACAAATTAGTTCTGTAATTATTATTATTTAATAAACCAACGTTGCCACACACAAAAAATTTAGAGACTATATTATTTTTAAATAGGATCTAATATAAATAATTTTGACATCTAATTTGTTGTTTATATTTTGCTACTACTTAAAAAAAATATTTATATTAAATGATTTTAAATTTTGTTGTTAATAGGTATAACAAATTATTACTATTATTATTATTTATTAAACCAGTCTTTGCTTAAAAACATTATAAATAATTTTCCTACATATAAAATAACAAGTATTATTGCAGTGTAACAACAGAATATTAATAAAAAAATGCAGAATATATAGACATACTATCCCTAACTAACTAAAGCCAAACAATAATATTCTTTGCTAATATCAACTAATACCAAAATATGGCAACAGCGCCCTTCATAATGTATTTTCTGTGTAAATACTAGTACCTCAATAAAAAAAATAATGTGTCCTTATCTATATCTGACTCCGCAAAACATCAAAGATACCGGCTTCTTTCAGAGTATTGCCACCGACCGCTGTCGGGTTCCTCGGAAAGAAACCTACGTCGCCGGGCGACAACTAAAATTCAATTAATATTTTATTATAATCGATCCTGACGAATAAATGAATTTCATAAATGAATGAATTTTATAAATGAATGGTTTTTGCTGCCGAATTACTAGAATACAATATTTCAAGGCAGATGACGGATCTATTCGATAATTTTTATTCGAATAGTTTTAAACGAATGTTTTCTTACTAACTATCGAATTATTCGAATGAATTGCAACTATCGAATGTTTCGATAGTATTCATTCGATAGTTCCCACTACTAACTATTATATTAAACAACCTGTTTTTAAACTGACGCTTGTTTTCAATCGAATTCAGTTTTTTTGTCAAAAAATGCCTTTCGCACGAATTCGGCATACGTTCGAGTACGTTTCCATTAAAATGGAGGAAATATTAAAAAAGCTGAAGAAGCAGGACAAGCGTTATTTCCATCTAAAAGTGAATCAATTTACCAAAAGGAATATAAAAAATACCATCAGTGGCTGGGACAGAAAAATAATGTAGCATGGGATGTCGAAAAGAGGATCAGCTGCACAGATGGACAGAATTTTTTAGTGAGCCTCAACAGGTAACAAATGATATTGATGAGGTACCAACGTCTCCAACAGAGAACTGCAAATCTAGAATCGCAACACGTGCTCCATCGATTCAAGAAATTAAGCAAGCATTATCACAGCTTAAAACTGGTAAAGCGGCAGGTCCTGATAATATACCCGCTGAACTATTTAAGATACACCCAGAAAACATTGCACAGCTACTAGAGACAATAATAAAAAGCAGTTGGGAAACAGAACATATCCCGTCAACGTGGAAAGAAGGACTTATTGCAAAACTCCCCAAGAAGGGCGACTTATCCCAGTGTAAAAACTGGCGAGGCATTACCTTACTTAACACCATTAACAAGATAATTGCTATAGTCATCCAAAAAAGAATA